ATAATTTGCAGTTTTTTTTTGTTTTTGTTTTTTTTTGTGTAAAATGTATTTTTTCCATTTTTAGGCTAAAATTGAAAATATATCATTTTTAGAAAAATAATTATTTTTAAAACCGTAACTTTAAATTAAAAATATGACAATCATATTTAATATATTGTTCTTATTTTATTTCCGTTAGCTGTTAACTGTTAGTGTAAAAGGTCCTATGTAAAAATTGAGTGTTTTTTTCTTTAGAGAAGAGCAAAAGCGAATTATTTCTTTATGATTTACTAGTATAATTTCGTAATTTATTTGCCTCTGCTATTTTCCTTTTTAGCAGACTACTTATAGCAATTTCTGACTACAAAATGTCACCTTTAGCATAAAGAGAATACACATGTAAAATTGTTACATACGACCTTTTGCACTAACAATAGCGACATTCCGTAGGGATTTTGCATAATTTACTATAACCTTTTAGATAATTTTACTACTTTAATAAACTGGTTATCAGTTACATAACCGAATGAATTGTATATCGTTTGCAGGGTATCGGTTACAACTTCGACTTCAAGCTGGCCTACAAGTTCCTGCGAAGAGGAGAGGCACATCTGAGGTACGGGAACCGCTCTGTGGCCTCGTGGAGGGGCGACCTAGTCCCGGGTAGTTACTGCGACAGGTGAGTTCCCTTATCCTACTAATTACTTATGCATTACCTTACCTCCTGTAATTAACAGCTAAATCTTGATTTAATATCGAGTTGGAGTCCCAGGATATGATGTAAGTAAGCTTGGTATTATGGTCAATTCATTGTACCAGTAATTAAGGTAGTCTTTGACAATTGAACGCAATAATGCATATATATATATACTTTCATCTATCAGTAATACCGACAATCAGCGTGTTTGGTATCGGAAAGAAGAATATGAAGTAAGACGTTGGTAGGCGTGATATAGAGGAGTTCTCCGTGCAGTGGTCTGAGAGCGGCAAAACCTCTATTTTCAAGGTGTTATGATAATTAAAATTTCTATTTCTTTCTTGCCTGACATAGTTAATTCATATATTCTTAAGTTTAGACACGAATAAGAACTGGAAGGACTCTGAAACGTATAGATCCGTCGAAATCCGCATATCGGAAATTTGACCCGATTGCAATACTTTCCTTACCTAGTATAAGTAGGAAAGTAATAAGTTAAAACATGTGTAAAAAATAGAATAAGCTGTATCATCGCTAATACTGGTTCAATTCCAATGATTTTCTTTTTTTGGTAATTTAATTATATTTCAAAAGTTTTATTATAAATTTTACCGTATAATATATACTTAGGGAGTTAGACCCCATAACATTTTTATTTTCTTTACAACTTTTTTTTCTGTTTTTCTTTTCGGAAATTTCATCTATAAACGAAAATTGGAAGAACAATTATTAGAATATTATAGGAAAGTTTCATCAAAATCGGTAAAGCCGTTTTCGCTACAGTAAATTGAAAAACATGTTTTTCATTTATTGCGCATGGAGCACCCGATTTCTGTCACAGGTATCAGTAGTCAAAACACTACAAGATAAAAAAAAAGAAACAAAATCGGTTCAGTAATTCCCGAGAAAATCTTGGCACAGACAGACAGACCAATCGCTAAAAATGTGTTTTTCGAACTCAGAAGGCTCTGAAACATGTAGATCCATCAAAAACCGCATATCGGAAATTTGACCCTATCGCAATACTTTACTTTCCTAATATATGTAGGAAAGTAATAAAAATCTAGTTTCTACTATAATAATAATAATAATGCAACTTGTTTTAAATCATTAAATATATTGTAGGTATTTTTGCTGAATTATCAATATATTTTTCGTTGTGTAATTTGTTGAAATGAGCCAAATAAGCTCTTAAATAAGTAATTTCTTGATACATTCAAATAGGTTTTATTTTCATTGGATAAGTTGTTACTCAACAGATTCTGGAATTTCGTTTTTTCCGTTGGAAAATACATCGTGCCAACGACCGTCAGGGTCTTCCTGTAATCAAAATGTTCTTTGAGCCCTTTGTTAATGATGAATACAAAAATCAGCTGCGGTAATTTGCATCTGGCAAATCCATTCAACAAACTTCTACCAAAAATGAGCAAGAAAAAAATTCCTATCTGTATCTAAATGAATTTATACCTAATATAATTTATTCCTTTTCTACATAGGAAATTGGAGGAAAAGTAAAGAAAGAAAAAACTTAAAGAAAATGCGAAGAAAAAGATTGAAGAAAAATTCAAACCATTTCGTGACCCATAATTGATACTGGGTTAGTGTTTTTAGCTCACTACCATGTATTTGGTTTTATGTTCATTTAGTTTTAGGTTGAGTTGGTCTGCTTCTTTTGCCACTATGCCCTCTTGATCGTAATATATGTAATAGATATTTATAATTGATTCGGTAAATAAACTTATAGAATATTATTTTACTTTAACTTTAATTTTTAATTTTAATGTATTTATTGAAATATACAATTGTATGAATAAAATACAATTATAGATCTTTGGATGACCAAGGAATTTGGACTTAAAGGATGAATATGCGTTTTTTTACCAAATCTGCAACAAATGGAACATTCAGGTCTTCATAGATAATTTTATTTGTGACATAATAAGCAGCATTAAGGATTCTATGGAGGATTTGGCATAGCAAGGATTCGATACGAGACAAATTCAAAATATATTGTAATTGAAAAAAATAAATAAAAATGAAATCGTTTGAAGGTTCAACCTTATAACTTGGAAATATTCCTGTAAAATAAAATAAGATGGAATTCCAAGATATGAGATTTCACACTCCAAGGCAAAAATACTGTAATTACAAGTTAAACTAAAACATAAGAATAACTCTGAAATCCTTAGTTACAACTTTAATGCTCAGTCTGAGAATCAGACTAAGAAAAATGAATAAACTCAATTATTTAATTAAAATTAAAAATATTATTTTCACTACCGTTTCCTATAACAAAAATAAAACAATAGATAAGTGACCTGTAGTTCACATCAAGCTATGACAATTACATCTAGTTTTGAGAGAAACGAACTTAGATCAACGGGAAGATGAAAGAGCCTGGGACCGAAACAGGAGATTTTGGCACGGGGCCGACTATTATCGAAGTTTCCACCAAAGAGGAGTGCGATTACATCTGCCGTAGGATGAATAGCAATGAGTTGAGGATTAGTGGCAACTTAGTCCTCTGCAAGTTTAAGTCTCGTTCCTTGTTCGGCTCGAGGACTTGGAGCTCTGTCGTCTACTGTTTCAAGAGATCATAGCAGGCAAGTATCACTGTGGTTTCATATTTCTTGTTACCTGTAAACTATGTTGGATCACAACGGAGTCTATTATCGTAGCTAATTTCTTAAGTTGATTACTTTTTTAAGAACATTATGATATACAAATTTTAGCTTATAAGCGTAATAATAAATGAATTTTCATATCATTTTATAGACCTTTCTAAAAAATACCAAAGTTAGGAAATATTTACTTCAAATATTTTCTTTTTCGATCCTACTACTTAAAAAAATATTTTATGTAATTTCCAACAAAAGTTGTGATATTTATTTTTGCCTTTGATTTTCCCGAGATTTTGAATTATTATATATCAATTGATTTTTTTTTTTTTTTTTTTGTGAAAAATATTGAATATAGTGTTAAATGAGTTTTAATGTATTCGCATTACATAAATCGCAAGACGCTTCCCACAAAATATACCAAGTAAATGTTTCTTATAATAAACTGAATTTCCATACAAATTTTAAATTGTAGGTTTTATTACTCGATTTTCTAAAAAAGCATTTATAGCTTCTCAGTATTTTCTCCAAATTCAACTTTAGTACAACCGTTGGATATACGAATCACGCTCTTCCAATGAGAATCGATAACAATTATATTTAATTCCTTTTAAAGCTAGAATTAAGAAAAAGTTCTCAAACATTTTTCATTTTGGATCTAATTTGTTTATAGAGGGCGGGTTTGTTCCCTTTCGTGTAACCTAAAGAGCCATAAATCTATGATAATTTTCGTATGAATTAGTAAAGTCATTCAGAAATTATCACATTTTTTTTTGCTTTTTTATAAACTATAAAGTTTCGTTCATACCAGGCAAAAATTTCAAACATTTTAATTTAGCATATTTTCTCTCCTTCAAAATAACAGTTGCCTAAAAATTTCACCGGTTTTCAAATTTTCCAATTAAACCCTAAATCGGCACCTAGAGTGAAGATTTTTTTTTTCAAATTTTAACCCAAAAATATGGGTTGTCATCGATAAAAATATATTTTATTTTACACACTATACTAGTTATCGAATAATTACCGATTTCAGATGCTATCAGCCCACAATTCCAGACTTATAAATACTTAGATAATTGAAAAACCTTTAAAATCAACCTTTTTTTTTAATTTACATTTTACTTCAAAATATTTTTGATATCGAAGTTTGAGCTGATAATGATTGCATATCTTTAATAAATAAAGATGTTCCTTGATGTATTTCATTCTCATGTTATCGATTTTTTTTTCAATCCAAAGTTATTATGATTTCTTACTTAAAATTTGTCACTCATGCTACATTTGTTTTCATATATTAACTTGAGATATCTAAATAAAACTGTGTAGGTTTATTATTTTATGAATACACATATATATATAAAATAATTTATAAAAAATAATAAGCCTACAAAAAAAAATGTATATATATATATATATATATATATATATATATATATATATATATATAGGTTATTATTTTCCTAATGAATAACACTCTGAATTCCCTTATTATTTATGGAAAACAGTTCTTTAGCTTAATGTTTCTTTAGTTTAATTCATACTGCAGTACCAGCTATTTTCCCTTTTACTCTGCCAAAATTGATAATTTTGGTAAATGAGTTGCTCTCCTCTGAAAATTTATGTTTTAGAGCGGAATAATGGCCCTACACTATGAGAATGATGTTTGATTTAAATCAATAACATAGCCATCCAAACTAACGCCGGCCATGTACCGCGCACGCAAACAAACGACTGACGTGAAGCAAATATTAACTGATCAAATACCACTCAACCGTGATAACAGTTACAAACTTTATCGACTTCACTTCAATGCCGCTCTATGTAATATCCGTAATGTTCTTATCATTCTCTTGGTAGGACATCATATTTCTGTTTATTAATTTTTACTTTAAAGATATAATTATATTCATGTACAAGTAATTTAAAATAGTAGACAAAAAAAAATTGTCGGTAGGAATTTTATTTCAGTGTTGTAGATAGTTCTATCCTTTTGAAAATTGTGTATGACGATGGCTGTGCCATCTGAATATATTTTATACTATTAGATGTATCTAGGTAGTATTTTTCATTATGTCTATAATCGGATATTTTGAAAAATAGTTTCTTGTTACTTATTTTTCCTTACGTACTTGCTCGATGAAAAATTTTTACTTATCGAGACGGTTTAATGAATAACATGACTTCAATGCAAACAACCATTATTAATTTTAGGTTTATATTTTTTGTAAGATTTTTATATTATTATTTTATTGAATATGTTAATCATTATATATGATTATTGCTTACACAAAAAATACTTATTTTAATTCCACAATTTTTATTTTATAAATAAAAAATATTATTAACCAGAAGGTTAATTTTTTCTTTATTTTAACCTTTCGGGATTAAAAGGCCATTTTCAAAAACCTTTAAAAAAAACCAAAACAATAGTCAAAAAATTATCGTTGAAAATATTTTACAGTTTACAATTGCTCAACTTTTTAATTAAAATTATAATTGTTTTTTATTGCTTCTCATTCTTTTCACATTCAAATATACTTGGGCCTTTTTTCCCTCCTTATTTTAAAAATAACACTTTTCTTATTTTCATTGCTTTCCACCCACAGTTTTATCTTTTCCTTTATAGACTGTAGGTTGGACTGCTCCACAGCACACTAGTCTAAGCAGTCCAAGCTACAGACCCTAAAGGACAAGATGAAACTTCGGTTGGAAAGCAATTTAAACTTAGGGCATGTCTAACTGCAGATATTTAAAAAACATAAGGTTTTTCTTTTTACAATTTTAGTGTTAGTATATAATATGAAGCAACCATTGACATATTTAGAAATCTTCTTTGGATCTTACAGCATTAAGATACATCGATTCAATTTTGTTATTAGATATTTTTCTATTGAAATCTAGTTATTAACCAGTAATAGAAAATTTGTTTAAACTAGACAAAGTTACTATAGCAAAAAATAAAAACGCTCACTCTCTCCGACCATTTTCTCTATTTATACTAGTACCCTTCCTGACTACATTCATTACCCCCGTTGTCACTTAAATGCTGATTCCCAAATTCACCAATTGCTCTAATCTTCATAGAGGTATGACGTTACCCAAAAGCTACAAGAGGATATTGACTGTATCAAAAGATGGGCAGAAATAAAAAAATTAAAACTGAATGCAGTTTAAACAAACACTATGGGTTCCAGATACCTCATTTGTTTCCTTCCTTACTTCCTTCCATTTCCTTCTCAGAATTAAAAACACTTAGGAGTAACCTTTGTCCAAAAGCTCTCCAGGAATAACCATATTTTCCCGATTATCAGGAAAACCATAACTATCCATAAACAACAAATGAGCAGTGCCGAGCTTACACATTTGGTGCCACTAGGCAATGACGTCATCTCCCCACCCAAAAATTATGAAATTCATTTCTAATGTTTTTTTATATCATGTGATATTAGAATTGTATGTAATTCAATATTTCTCTAATACAGTTGCTTTATCGATACGCTAAAATTAAATATTTTGATATGTCTTGTATATATTTTTTAAAGTTCTCAACAAGTGGTTAGTGTTCTGATGATCGGCGCCACAAGGGAAATTGCTCCGTTTGATTAATTAATAGTTAATAAGTAATCAGTTAATTAGTTATTACAAAATCTAAACATTCTTACATAGTTGCGGAAATCTTAATATGAAGTAGCTGCCAGTTTGAAGGAATTTGTGGACGGGGATTGATAGATTGAGATAGGTGAGGAGTTCCAAAAGATTGACCACCCCTAAGACCAGCACTGAACATAATATTATATGATTATATTAAAAAAAAAAAAAAAAAATCCTTCGTTTCTCCCCATTTCGACTACGGTTGCTTGGTGCATGGAGGACTACCTAGAAGGCTGGCGATGAGAGTGAAGAAACTTATGAATTGTTTTATAAGATTTATTTTTGGGTTTCTCTGGGCTTCTCAAATTTCCTGCTGGTACAGCAGTTAATTTGAACTGATCTATCCTACTTCATTTTCTGAATTCAAGTTCTTCATAACCAAAAATTGTCTCTACATCCTCGAACTCTAAGGAGTACAGTAAGCTGCACGTTCATCTATACACTCACTGAACAATGGCTTTTACCAATAGATCTATGTACCCTTCCTTCAGAAAATCCTTCGTCATTCATGCTACTTTCGTATGGAACTCCTCACCTATCGCAATGGATCCTCGTCAACAAATTCATTCAAACTTCCAGCTACTTCATATTAAAATGTCCGCAACTATGTAAGAGTTTTTAGATATTGTAATAATTAATTAATTAATTAATAACAATTAATTGACGAGTGAATTTTTTGTTTGTATAATTATTTCAATTCTACATGGCTATATGTAGATATATCTTGAACTTTGTCATGACTCTTAGAGGACTTTATTCCCAGAATAAAATTATTTTTCATTAATTCATTTAGTTTGATAACTGCTACATAGAAAAATGATTAACCAGCGGTCAGTATTGGTACTAGTACTATTGTACCCGTGTGTAGAAATATATAATACTATTCAGAGCAAGCTAATAATATAAATAAAATTATGCAATAGATAAAAAATAATTTATTAAATTCAGTTTTATAAGTTATTTGAAAAAGTAGATATAATATAATATATCTACTTTTTGCAACCAAATTTTATTTTAGTGCATAAGTTTTATTAATTTATTAAAAGTTATCACTTGCATATCATTCAACCTATTTCCGAAATTCCTCAGGTGCACATACCTTATTAATTAAATTGAAATGCGAATATGTAGCTCCTCATTGCTCCAATGGTTTCTGCTACATCAACCCTTTTGTCGCCCGTAGCCTACAGAAGCCTGTTAAATTTCTCTGGCGCTGCTTCAACATCAAAGGGCCTCTTACAAGGACCTTAATAAGTAACCCTCCTAGTGCTCTGTTATAAAGTTAACTAATATCCGACATATTTTCACATACCCCCTAACTTAAACGAATAGGACGAATTTAATATCAATTTCACAACATTTTCTCAAATTTCCAGGAATATTTCAGTGAATTGTTTCTCCATGAGTTTTTCCCTTTTGTTAATGTGTTCGTAAAATTACAATATCATTTTCTGACTATCTCTTATTAAATGAGAAACTTATAAGTTCTAGGAAATGGATTCTGTAGCGCATTAAACTATTTTTTTTTATGTCTCGATACTTTGAAAATCGTCAACGAATTTGAGATTTTTAGAAGCGTCTAAGAACGTCTTAGGATCTCTAGCAATATTAAAATGATGGAAGTTCTAGGAACATTTCATATCTCGTTATTAATATAGTTGTTTGATTTGTGATATTTTCAGTTATCCAAGTCATATTAATATCAAATATCAAGTCGTATTTGAAGGAGTGCGCAGGAAGAATATTGATTCAAAACAGTTTTACAGCAATCAAAGACGTAACAATAAATATCACTTCAAATATTGAGTAAGATAATATCAATAAGCTTCTCAAATATTAGATGAAAATCAAACAGTTAGATATGAAACTTCAAAATAATCACGAATCGTAAATCAAAAATTCTAAAAGAAAAATCTTGAACAATAGACCACTTGGCACAATGCTTAAAAAATATTTTTGCATAGATGTGCATTGAACCGGTGTTTGGGGTTAAGAATTGTTAAATTAATTTTTAAAGATTGGATGATGTAGAAAAAGACGGTGATGAACTGACACAACGAATCAAGATTTATAAATAAACTCACATTTGAACATGAAAACTGAAAAGAGGTGAAGTTTCATGTCCAAAGTAGAAAAAGACTGCAGATCCACATGAGTATAATTAAATGCAGAAATTTCAGAAAAGTAAAATTAATAACAAAATGAGAAGTCTCCTGGTTGGATTGGAGATGTTATTATATGAATACACAGTCTCTTTAAGGATCAAATTCGACTTATAATTTTTCCATTAATTTAGTTCATTACAATATTACGAGCCAATATACAACATTGGCCTGGAAGAGACCGTAAATAAATAAATTAAGTGCCGTTGAAAAACATTACAGAAAAATAATTAAATATACATTACTATAAGAATTTCAGAATAATTACAGATCCATAAAAAAAAAAAAAGTTACATATTTATCACAATATTTCTCTGGCTATAAGCTTCCAGCTTCCTCCTCCAAAATAATTATCAAATTGACAGAATAGGATCATTTTCGATTATACAATAAATATGGTTTATTATTATGAATATGTTTAGGTGTGATTGATTTTTACTACAATAATGCCGTATTTCAATAAAAACACACGAATCTAGAAATTCTTTTAGTAAAACATTCATTGATTTAATTTCTTTATACAGAACGAACAACGATACTCCTATTGCTAAGTTTACATTATTTTTACTTCGAGGAATTTATTTTACATTGAGGAAACAGTTAGGTAAACGATAGTCATTCCAATTATCCTATTTATTAGTAGCGAGTTATTTTTGTATACCTTCTTCCTCTTGCATGTTATCCTCAGTTTAAATATATATCCTTTTTATTATACATTTTATTATACAAGGAATACATTTTGAAGTAGATAATTAGGCCATTTTTAGATTTAATAACTAAATAAAAAAAAATGATATATGTAATTATTATTTAAGAATTAAAGTTTCGTTATTAATTAAAATTAAACATGATTTAATTAAATTAATTTTAACTTAATTAATTTTATTTAATCAATTCGTGTTTAATTTAGATTATTGATTAAAACCCTATCTCATACCAAAAAAGAAATGGCTGCTGGGCCTAAATATGAAAGAAATCCGAATCATCATCGGAGTAATAACAGGCCACTGCAGACTTTAAAGATTTTTGGAATAGTGGATGATGAATTCTGCAATCCTTTGCAGAAGTGCATCTTCTGCTTTCTCTTCAACTTCATAACATAATGTGACCGATTTGCGTCACTCATTGCTATGTTCCTGGCCTCGCGTTTCTACGGCGAGTAAGGGGTTCCAGGAACCACATTTATTTGTATTAAATAGTTATATTTGTATTCATATCGGTTCCAGAAGGGAACCGATCTACAGAAAAATATATTAATTAGTTATTTAAAGGTAAGATACCACAGACCCCCTACTGTAGTATCCTAGATTGAACCATATAATTTTTATTGGATTTCCTTTCTCAAGGTATCATGTTTTTAAATTTACTATTTGTTCTATATCTAACTGGTGGCATGCAAGGTAGATGGTAAAAGTACTACGTTGGTTTACTAACTATTATATTTACAAGCTTAAATAAAACCAAAAACATCTATATACAAAATAATAACTAAACCTATATACATAATATTAGTTGCGAATCATACGAGAGGAGAATGCTTGATATTTGATTAAAGTTACATGTGTTATATTGACTCTATTAACTAACAATTTACGATTGCCAACACAAGTTTACATCTGTATAACTAAATGAAGGTTATTACTTAGCTGGTGAGGGGTGTTGTCGGTATCTCTAGCTGTTCTGGCTACCTCTCTGGAAGCTCCGTCGATCTGGTCCTCAAGTCTTCATCTTGCTCCCTCCGGCTGTGTCCTAGCCTGAGTCCCAGCTATCAGTCCCTGTCTTGCTCTCTCCGCTTCTCCTGATCCAGTCTCAGCCTGTGTCCCAGCTCTCCTCCGCCGAGTCCCAAGAGGAAGTCTTCTCCTCTGAGTCCCAAAAGGAAGTGTTCAGTCCCAATTCTCTATTTCCCACCTTTTTTCATCCTCCTCTCTTTTGGTAGTCTTTTTCCTGATTGGCTGAATATTCTCAGCCTAAGGGATGACCACGCCCTCTCCCCCAGGCCAAGGTAAATCAGCAGGTACAGATTTCCATATTTCTGGTGGAAGGTGTGAAAAGGTTTTTCGGGATCCTGTTTAAACACTCAGTTGTCGGTCTTGGTCGGTGGTCCTTAAAGGTTTTTATTACCACTTACAAAAGGTTGGGCTTGTTGGTCGTTACCCTCGTTCAGGTAGCGCCAGATGTGGCCACTAATGATATTTATTTATACCTTTAAAATAATTATTCCACCGGCGGTCTTTACAATACATAGCATCACATACAGACTTCTGGGAGACAAAATCCAAGTATGCAATGCTACCTCTATAAAATGACCCAACCTTTTGAACTTCATTATCAGAACAAAAAGGTTTGAGACAGAGTTGGAGATACAATAGACAACAATTGGTAGTAACATCTTTGGGGTTGGCAAAAAGGACCAATAGGCCCACTTGCTGTACTATGTCTCCTCACCAGTATCAATAGATTTTCGATTGTAGTTTTAGTATCGTCTTGAGTCCAGTTCTCTATATTCTAGAGAAAAGAATTGTTCGCTAATAATAGCCCTAAAAATCCCAATACCTTTCTGGCAAACATTTGCTTATGATATCGCCATCTTTTTCTTTCACTGATACCCTGAAATGGCATCCTTAAACCTGCAAAAGGCATCTCTTCCTGTTAATAAAATGTAGCAGTAGTGCAATCATTACAGTAAATAAATCAAAATTCAAGTATATTGATATTTATACTTTTTTAAATTTATCCTTTTACACTTCGACGCACATCCTGTTCGCCAATCATTTTTAACTCAATACCTTTATAACTCTTACAATTTGACACAGTCCGATACCCAGACTCCCTGGGCCTCTAGACAAGAAAATTACATGGAACCATCATACCAGACTTAAAAGACAAGATAATAGCTTTGAACATATATACTACACAACAGAAATTCTCATATTTCAACTAGAAATGTACAAAATCATACTGAACACATAACGCTACAAGTACATCTTGACCTATGTGCTGCAGGGGGCAAATGAATCTCGGTAATTATTTACGAACGGTCCTCCACTCGCCATCTTGGTTGAACTGGTATTATGTCCCGTGTTCTGATAACGTTTACGAAATCTAGCACCAGAAAGCGCCACTATTGCGGAGGGGTTGTCTTGTCCCCTCCACCTTACGTTCATTACAGATAATTACCAATTGTAACCTTTACAATATTTAGTGCCCACCATTTTTTTTAACTTGTCGATTTCTTTGTATCTTCAATATATCGATTAACCAAACTTTATATTTCAGATGTTATTATTTACACATATTACCTGCATCAATTTTTTTTACCATTATATATTACTAATATTATTTATAATTGTAGTGTTTATATATTGCCCGTTTTTGTTTTTTTAGCTTCGAGATTCAGCATTATTAATGCTTTTCGCTTTCCTTATCATAAATGAAAGAAGTTTATTAACTTAAGTTTTGTTTTAATTGTGACACTTTATCTCTAATTGTACATTATCTAAGTATGTCCAATATTAATACAATTCAGGAAGAATTAAACAATTTTCTATAAGGGTTTTGATGCTGGATAAGGGTTATACTTATCAATTATATGTTACTTAAATCTTCTAGCAAGAAGAATTAAACAATTTTATATAATGCTTTTGATGCTGGATAAGGGTTATATTTTTCAATTATATGTTACTTAAATCTTCTAGCAATAAAACACATTTTCAGTCTACTCAGGTACATACTGGCAATACCAGATGACCAGTTATCCCTAGCCATTTCCATTGCTGTCTACTTACATTATCTATATCTACTTTTATATTGTATTGTCTCATTAATTTTTCTGAATCCTGTCAGAATGATTTATTAGGCAAGAAAGTGTAAGTTATCTTCATCATGTGTATTCCGCCAGACATAACTCATTACCTTCTTCTTCATAAAATGTAAAATGTCCCTTAGTTATATACATTTATATTCAAATAGTTATATATTCAAGAAGACAATATTTCCTCCTAGGCACTTTTCTTTATGAAATCATTACCGGTCCTTCTTACGCCTACAACCTTCTCCAATTTAAGTCCTCAATCCATTCCCTCACTACAAGATCTCTACCCTCTGACCTATACATCCCTTCTCATAGATCTGCCTCATTCCAAAATTCCTTTATAGCCCGCTCTGTCAACTTTTGGAATTCCCTCCTGATCAAAATTCGACATGCCCCTCCCCTATACACATTCAAAAACCTCATATTCCAATTCCTGTTCCAAAAACAGTCAGATACCAGCTAACTATTAATACTATATATGTATTGTGTAGCAATCATATAATCATAATACTTGATAAGAGATAGTTCATGCATTTCATACTATCGACATAGGAATTTCAATACATACATTTCTTTTATTTATTCAATTATAATTAACTGTTTATTTTTATATGTATATTCAAGTAAAATTTTATTTTTTTATGAAATGAACACATTCTAACTTTATAGTTTTGTTTATAGTTCAAGTGATATGTTCATAGTTTTAATTGTTTTGTTTATAATTTTAAATGTTCTGTACATAGTTTTATCTGTATTGTATATAGCTTGCGCACCTAAGGTTTTCTTTACTTTTTATTTTATTTTATCAATTTTATTTATTGTTTCAAACGTTTAGGCCAGTAATATTCTATCATTTTGTACATTATTGTTATTCTGAAGGGACTTAGTCCCAGAATTAAGTTTTTTTTTCTATATATCTATCTAAAAGTAGATACAGATAATGTAAGTAGACAGCAATGGAAATGGCTAGGGATAACTGGTCAGATAATTTAAATTGGATTGGAGATTAAGACAATTTAGAAACTATAATAACCAAATGTGAATAATTGAGATGCATAGGTAAAAATATATTCAAAAGCATCTGTTATAAATGTTACAGGCTCAAGTTGACATAATTTAGCTAATGTTTGAAAAAGATTACTGCTTAACTAAATACCTCTTGGAGCATTGCATTTTATATATATATACAGGTTGCTAAGATACTTGTCTATCATACAGATACGATGATTGGCATAGTTAATTATGTAGAAAATGTACGGTTCCAAGGGGAATATACAAGGGACTAATCGCTAAGAACTCGTAATGTTGCTGACAAGTTCAGATTTAAAGGAATGTCAGTAGTGTTTTCTTCTTTGATTATTTTAAATTAAATGAATCGCTAGAGCTCTCCTACATGATCCTGAAACATTTCCATTGTAAATTTTTTAGTACATACAATCTAAAATATAGCATGGTCAAGCATAAAGTATTTAAAAATTGAATATATACAATCTAAATATCTAAAATATACAATGATCAACCATCAAATATTTAAAAATTTAAGTTAATGAAGTTGTTTAATGTTTAACAAATTGTTTAAGACAGTATGCTGCACATTAGACTGAAAATGTGACAGAATATATCTAAAAAGTATAAGCATAAAAATATTATGTGGATAAGATGGAAATGGGTGTTCAATCGATGCTTATTTAATGGTGGGTAAGGAATGGTTAATTTAAAAAAAGGCGGGTAATATATAACCTAAACGATCTAATTTCTATATTTACTGAAAACAGAGGTAAGGTGGAGGGGACAAGACAACCCCTCCGCAATAGTGGCGCTTTCTGGTGCTAGATTTCGTAAACGTTATCAGAACACGGGACATAATACCAGTTCAACCAAGATGGCGAGTGGAGGACCGTTCGTAAATAATTACCTGAATCTCTAAACGTCCGACTTCTCCACCCCTTTCAGTCCAAAGTCCTTCAAACTATATGCAATGCTCCATACTAAGTCACAAACAAAATCTTACATCATGACTTCTATATCCCAGTTGTCATTGATATAATTCCATCCAGATTTTCCGAATTTTATCAAAACCGGATTCCATCATCCTAATCCCTTAGAAAAATCTCTTTTATGATATAAATAAAATATACGAAATCAAAATTTATTATAAGTCGACAAGATTAAGATTCTAAGAAACTTGACAGGCTTACTCGGATAGGTTTAGATTGGATTTTCTTAGAAATCCGTGTAGGCGTAACTTCCGATAATCGTCAAAGTGATCGGATCCGATGACTGATCCTAAATTGGTTGATATTTGAACTGATCAACCGAATTATCGGGTTCCACTGCACGGTCGATATATAACTGATTATTGGAATTTGAGTGAGACCTATCCTTTTTTAGGTATTTTGAGACATGCTTTGATTAGTAAGTTTTCAGTCAATTGAGTATTTTTATTTAGGAATACTTTGACTATTTACATCAAAATCTCTGAGATAAGATAATCCAGATTTGATTTCTCGTAACTTAAATACAACAAAATTTTCAGTAATGATTTTTTTTTTCCTTAGGATCCTGGAGAGGTGTGACAGCAGACCTTGCAGGATCCAAAGCCCCAACTACCCGGGGGTGTACCCCAGGAACATCACCTGCTACTACAGGATAGAGCACAGGCAGGTGCCCAGGGGGAAGCACGCCCTCCTGGCGGTACGGCAGAGGAATAGTCACAAAGTTCACATAAAGGACCAAGTTGTCAAATACGACAGGAGTCAGCGAGTTCTCAGGTAGGATATTATCTTTAAGTATTCGTATTGCTCTTTATGTATTGCTCAATCCCCTATACTTGGTTGTAAAAGGGAAATAATCAACATTGTTAGTTGTAAGAAAATAATATGAATGTTAGTGACTTATTCTCATTCCATTTAAATTTACTTTTTTTGTATCTCATTAATTTTGTTATTTTATTTGGGATGCCTATATCATATTATATATTTATTACTTTTTTTTTTAATTTTAATTATTTGAAGAGTCTTGGGTTAGAACTATGTTGGGAAGTACGGTTTCTTGGTCATCGGTGCTTTGACCCAGTTCATACACAACCGCCAAGTTTTCCACCTTAATTAAATAAGATACAACCACTTTTTATAGGCTGAGTATGCCCCAGAAGAATCTCCCGATCCTCGGGTTGGTCCACAGCCGATGAAAAAGAATAAATAATTTATCTGTCATAAGTCGGAGTCTAATCTGGGACCTTGATCCTTGGCAGTCTGTGTGCAACCCACTGCTGAATGTCTCAGGTTCGAATCCCGGTTGATGGCAGATAAATTATTTATTCTGCTTTATTGGCCGTTGATCAACCCTGGGATCGCGAGATCCTTCTAGGGCATACCCGCTATAAAGTTAATAAGTTATAATGATTTCCTTATATAGACATATTATTGTAGTAGTGTTGCCCAAAATTGATCTTGGTCTTGCACTTTGCAAGACTAATAAACCAGGATTAATAAAAAAAAATCGATTTTTTTCATAAAATTTAAGGCAAAATAGTTATACACGGTGGGCCAGACCCCCTTACAGTGCACCCTCCCCCCCCCCACATCCCTATAAATTGCATATCGTTGTGTTCCTTGTAACTATTTATTAAAAAAAAGTGAACGCACTGCCCCAAAATGGCGTCCAATGGGTGCCTACAGGCCTCTACCACACCATTCAGTGCCCATAAATGGCTTAGTTATAGTGATATAGTGGGTTGTTTAGTAAAACTCATATATCATTAATTAAAAAATTAATTTTTATTTCCTTTATAATGTTATTATATCACTATAACTAAGCCATTTATGGGCACTGAATGGTGTGGTAGAGGCCTGTAGGCACCCACGCCAGTACCGCTTTTCTCCCACATAACTGATTATTTTCCAAAAATGTTTAAGCAGTTTCGTAGAAAATGCGCTTATGCGGCAGAAAAGCGGTAATGTACATTTTTGGGGTATGTACATGCGGGGTAGCTCAGTGGTAGGGCACTGAGCTTCCAATGCAAAGGTCCCGAGTTCGAACCCTGGCTCATGGCAGAAAATTTATAGTTCTGTTTCATTGGCCGTGGGGCGACCTTGGGTCAGAAGTCCCTCCTAGGGCACACCCAGCCTCTATAAAGTGGGTACCCTTAATTAAATAATTAATTAAGGGGGAAAACCTGGCGGTTGAGCGTGATCTCGGTCAAATCACCTCCTTGCACAACCGTTTACCTAGAAACAGTGCTTTCCCTAAATAGTACTGAACCCCAGATCCTTCATGGGTTGTAGTGGTACAGGTTTTTTTTTTTTTTTAATTTTGTGCAGAAGTTGGGCTATATCATAAATAAATAGGAAATTTTAATATTGAATGAATTATTCTCTATGCACAAAGAAAGATAGAAAGGGTGACCCTATAAGTTCTTCTATATACCAAAACTGATTGTTTGGATTTGATCTAAAAATGAGAAAAAACGTGAACTTAAACGAGAAAATTGGAAAAATACATTAAGGAAGTGCCAAAACCTCGGAATAGATAAAAAGTACCAGTATCCATTATATAGCTAAATGAATGTTTAGTAGACACATGAACAAAATATTTCAAGATGCTGCTAAACATTTTTGAAAAATAATCAGCGTTTTAGAAAGAGAAATATATTCTCCAGATGGTTTATTTCAGCACGTTTTGCGTTATTGTAGGCCGTTTAATTACAAACGACGTTTGATTTGTAACTTGAAAATTTTTTTGTTAAAAAAATTGACTTTACTGGTGTTTTTCATAGCCTAAGCCAATTATTTTTTAATATTTCTTCATGTTTTATTATTCTATAACTATTCAGCTTTAATAAAAGACCAACTATGAGGAAATTAAGCCAAATACTGATTCTCATTGAGAAAAAAACTAACTAATGTCAAAGTCGTCAATCCGCCATGTTTGGGCGCCATTTTGGGGCAGTGCGTTCACTTTTTTTGTGGGAACATTGGCTTTTTTTAATAAATAGTTACAAGGAACACAACGATATGCAATTTATAGGGATGTGGGGGGAAGGGTGCACGGTAAGGGGGTCTGGCCCACAGACTATTACTAATACTTGGCAATCTTAGTTACTATATGTTAACAATTGGTATAACCAATGTACTCTTGCGTTTAACTCCTCTAATTTTTCATTCGGGCTTAGTCAAAGTTCTCCTGTACAAAAAAAAATACAGTAATATCTCTATTATAATAAGCTAATAAGTAACTTCACGACTGTTGCGAGACTCTTGCGCAAGACCAAGACCATGACCAGACTGAGTTTGCAAGACCAAGACTCGTCTTGGCCTCGAATTTGGGCAACACTAATTATTAGACTGCTACCGGTGGTTAGTTTTTCAACAAGAGTTTTCCTGTGATTATATTCCTGTGAATACATTTACTTGATGTATCTATATTGTAATAAAGTTGTAAATATCTTGGAAAAATAAATATAATATATTAAAAAAAATGTATTGTTTTACGTCATATAGACTTTTTAACATACTATATATCACCTTGGCATTCTTTTATAATCTATGAGGTCTATTACTCGTAAATTGGAATCGATACGTCAATTTTATTCATGTTACGGTAGGATAGTCATTGCCTATTAACTTCCCTCTTCAAACTTGAAATCAGGGGGTGAAACTTTGGGAAGCCCAACTAACCAAACTTTCGTTAGTCTAATTCCCCTAAGGTACCTGTTGGAAGTAGATTAAACTTTATTTCTTCATTTTTTTTAATTAATATTTACGTAAAGAAATATTAAATTCGTTTTCATCGTTGAATCATGTGCTGAAATTATCCATTTATATTGCGTACATCCATAAACTTCTAAACAAAAACTCATTTCATGTAGATAAGGAAATTTCACAAGTATATTTCTTCAGGAGAAATGACAGAAGTTGTAAATAGTGATTCTGTTTATGCATCATAATTTAAGAGCAGGATAGCAAACACTATTAAATATCAGGAAGATTTTATAAAGTTAGGAATGAAGTAAACATAGAAAACAATATTACAATTCTTGTAAAACAGCTAAGCCTCTATCTTAGTAAAATCTTTTCAACACTAATTTAGCTTTACCATGTAAATCACGTATTGATCTGTGAAATTTAAGAAAATAGGAAAATGCACCTTAATATTGTCAAGAGGAAGAACTCATGAAATAAGAACTCGATGCTCAAAATCGTTGTTATGATTCATTAGTATTGCGATATAAGCTTAAAGAAAGTTTACAGTGTTTACTGGAAGATTGTCAAATAATAATTTTTTTTTTTTTTTTTGACTCTATATCTTCATCCGCACCTGTCATGGTAGTGACAATTAGCAGATTTGCTGTTTAAATTGAAAATGACATGACAGGCATGACGAAGAATGGAGCCCAGCAGCACCTCTTCCCTGGCCTGTTTATATCCTAAATTCAGGAAAGGAGATCTCTCATCCAGCTCCTTTTCAGTCGCCTCCTGATGAGCATTTCAGCCGTGGCCATGTCTTTGATAAGTCCATTGTGATGTCCGTGTAGTTTTAGATGAAATCGGGAGTAAAGAGTACGTATGTGCTGGTCAATGGTTGGTTGTCTTAGGTCGGTATGTAAAGTCTTATTGTTGACGTACCAGGGAGCTGCAGTTATTAGTCTTAAAATTTTAGATTGAAAGGATTGTAGTTTTTGTAAGTGAGTCTTTTTTGCTGAACCGTAAATCTGTGAGGCGTATGTCCAAATGGGTTTGAGCAGGTAAGTGTATGTATTTAGTTTTTGTCTAATTTTCAATTTTGATTTAGAAAACAGTGAGTACAGTATTTTCAGTCGCTTGTTCAAACTCTTTCTTTTCATTTTGATGTGTGGGCCCCAGGTCATCCTTCTGTCAAATATTAGTCCGAGGTAGCGTATACTGTCCGTCTGAGGAATTGGATTGTTGCTGATATAAACTGGTGGGCATGTTTCTCGTCGAAGCGTAAATGTTATGTGTTGTGATTTGTTATGATTTAATCTAATTTTCCAGAGTGAATACCAATTTTGTAAATTTAGTAAATGATTTTGTAAATTTAATAAGGCTAGTCTGGGGTCATGGTGTTTTGTTAGAATTGTTGTATCGTCAGCGTAAGTAGCAGTCAATGTTTCAGAATTGGTAGGCATGTCATGCGTATAGACAATGTAGAGTAAAGGTGCCAATATTGATCCTTGAGGTACCCCTGCTGATACTGGTCGAATTGAGGAAAATTCTAAACCCTGTCGGACAGAGAAGAATCTGTCGAAAAGGAAAGATTGGAGAATGAGATAATATGTATTAGGCAGTATAGCTTTGAGTTTGAAGAGAAGTCCCTGGTGCCAGACTTTATCAAATGCCTGGGCAACATCCAGAAATACGCCGGTAGCATATTGTTTTTGCTCTAGCGCTCCAGCAATGTAGTCAGTAACTCTGTGTAATTGGTGTGTAGTTGAATGAAATGTTCGAAAACCGAATTGATGGTCAGGTATTATTTGTTGGTCTGTCAGTATGTCAACCAGTCTTTTGTATATTAATTTTTCGAAAACTTTGGAGCATATCGGAAGGAGACTGATAGGTCGGTAGGATGAGGGATTGAAAATGTCTTTGTCCCTTTTGTGTATCATCTTGATATGTGAGTATTTCCATTGTAATGGAAAGTTAGTTGTCCTCAGAATACAGTTGTATATTGTCGTAAGGAACACTAGAGCTTTCCTAGGCATTTGCTGGAGACCCTCGGCAGTTATTAAGTCATAACCTGGAGCTTTTCTTTTTGGG